AAGCCTTTTATGTCAATTCTTCAGCTGACTTTATACAAACACATAAATCAAAAGAAGCCTTTTATGTCAATTCTTCAGCTGACTTTATACAAACACATAAATCAAAAGAAGCCTTTTATGTCAATTCTTCAGCTGACTTTATAAAAACACATAAATCAAAAGAAGCCTTTTATGTCAATTCTTCAGCTGACTTTATACAAACACAGCGGAAAATTTTATGTGTATGTACACATGATTTTATGAATGGTTTTATGTGTTTTCTTCATTTCTCAAACATTTATTTAAAGCTATTAATCAAGCAGTAATTTACAAATAATTTATGAATAAAAAATAATCAAAACAATATTATTAAAAAAAAAAAAAATAGTTGAACAAAAAACAAAATAAGTGAAAAGATTTAATAATTATTCTTTACCTATACAAGTTATATTGCTGAAACAAGTAGATTTTTCAGTACTGTTGCCCAAACAATTTGTACCATTACAGACACGCCCCCTTATCATTAAACTTTGGCCACACGATGGTGTGCATTCAGACCAATTACTCCATTGTGCCCAAAAAGCTAATGAATAAATTTAATAATTTCATCAGTTAAAAATTTGTCATAGAACTATGTAATCAAGTATGTGTAACCATGTATGTGAACTATGTAATCTCAGTGTAGTGTAACCATGCATGTGAACTATGTAATCTCAGTGTAGTGTAACCATGTATGTGAACTATGTAATCTCAGTGTAGTGTAACCATGTATGTGAAATATGTAATCTCAGTGCAATAATTCTGAATTAACATTTAAGAAAAATTAATGCTATTTATTATCAATTTAAATTTTTTTAAAATTTTAATTTAATTATTTTAATTTATTAAAGCAGAATTACAAACAACAAAGAGTTTAATTTTAGATTAATGGAATGAAAATTTTGAAATACAATAAAACAAATATTATTTAGAATAAACTAGATATAGAATTCAGGGATTTACACTTCTATGCAAAGCTTTATTATGAAATTATCTATGCCAACTTTGAGTCCTACTGAGATATAGTTTTTAAAAAGTTTTTAAATATATATAAAATTAATATTTTATATATATTTAAAAACTTTGAGATTATTATAAACTTTTTATTGCTACTATTATCAACAATATTGTTTCAACAATAGAAGGCATCCCTTGAACACCCTTGTCTACTATCACTACCTTGAAAACTAGTTATTATTGCTACAATATTTACAATATTGTTTTAAAAACAGAATGTGAAAATAAAAACAGTAAAAATATTTCTTACACACACAAGTTTCATTGCTAAAACAAGTTGACATTTCAGTGCTATTTCCAGAACAATTATAAAAATTATTCTTGGTATTACAAACACGTGATCGGTTCATCTTACTAGTGCCACATGATTGTATGCATTTAGACCAATCACTCCATTGCATCCAAACACCTAACAAAAAAATTTAAACTTTAAAAAAAATTCTTTTAATAATATACATTGCTTTAATAAATATGAATCAAAATCTATAAAATTGAATAATCAAAGAATATTAATAACAATATTAGGTTATATGCTGACAAAAGCATAATCAGATCTTAATGTTTGCTTGGGATAGTTTAATGCTTCCAGCTAACTTCACTGTGCACCCAATTAGTCATATACTTAGTTCATGTGCACTAATAATAAAAATACCTAGTGGGCATGGTACGCTTTCTAAATGTTCTTAGGACGTTTTTTAAGTTTAAATCTAATAAAAATGTTTAAAAAAACATTTAAAAAACGCACCTGCCCAATGGGTAATAATTCATCATGTAGGTAACCAAATAAACACACAAACTTTTTTTTTGTCTCTTGCTTATGAAGCGAGCGCTCTACCACTACACCACTACCACATAACTTCTTTGGAAAACACTTATGACATGAAATACTCATAGTGTGTCACAAGTGTCATGCAACCACAAACATTAAATGTGATCTCAGCATTCTTATCTTTAATATTGAGATGTCAAGTCCTAATGATTTTTAGGGACTCTGGAACTACAGATTATGGGGTCGAAAAATAGGGACTCATTGGACTTTTTTGAGTCAATTAACCAGAGTTTTTAGGGTAGAAATAGTTAAAATACTAGAGTAAACTATATAACATAAAGCTAAAAATATGCTGTAAAAAATGATAATTTATTAATGATTTAATTTCTTCACTCAAAAAATAACAATATTTTTTAAGCTGAAGATATTTTTACTAATATACTTTAAATAAAAAATTTGATAATTTCAAGTTTACATGCAGTAGTGGTGTAGTGGTAGAAAGCACACCTTACAAACATTGATTACAGTACTTAACTTGTTTTTCTGCGCATCAACCTTATTTCCAACGCATCAAGTTATTTAAATAGTTACTATAACAACTTGTAAATTAAATAACTTAAACCAAAATGTTGTAATGTGTTTTAATATAAATGTGTTTTAATATAAATGATAAACTATAGAAACTCAAAAAATATTATGAATTTTATTCTAACGATGTACTTTTAATAGATTAAAATTGCTACACTTAATAAAATGATACTTCCTACCTGTGTTTAAAAAGATTTTAAAGCTAAGAAAACAACTTATATGACTTAAAAAATAACTTTTATACTTAATCAGTAAAACCATATCTGTAAGTTTAAATATTATCATTAGTTAAACATGTTAGAAAAATACTTTCTCTATCGCATCAATGCAAGTTTGAGTGTGTAAATATTTGTGACTCAGCATCATTTGTAATCTAGCTATCAGTATATACCAAAGGTTTTGGATACTGCCTCTTATACTCTTTAAAAATAATGTATACTATAAGCAATGTATGCCATAATCATGCTGCACACTTTTGAATAACTTATATGGTTTATAAGGTTATAAGATTTGACCATAAAACATAGAAATGAATTCAGACATTTTTTGCTGACCTCAAACACTTCTAGGTCGGCAGTTAGGTCAGCATTGTCAAATCCCGAACCTAATTTTAATGGTTGATATATATATATATATATATTATATATATATATATATATATATATATATATATATATATATATATATATATATATATATATATATATATTAAGCGAACGTGATCGTTTCCTATGTGAAACACGCCTATAAATGGAATATTTTAAACTTCCAGGCGCAATAAGCAACGCTTGTTTACCTTATAATGAGAGGTAAGAATCAAGCTTATTCAAGAGAAAATGAGTTTTTTAATTGATTTTTTAGCAAAAAAATTTTGATGAAAGTTTTTTGTTAAAGATAAAACTTGTTTAATTTAAAAGTAAAATTATGTCTCCTTTAATTAACAAAGCACTCATATAAAATATAAAGCATTATCTGACTTTGAATTAATGAAGAACGTGTGTTTTTGTATTGCATTTACAAAATAAATGAAAAATTTGAAGTTGTTACAGCTAATCTAGAATGGAATAATTAATATTATAACCAAATGCACTTGAAAACACAATTTGAATAGAAATATGTTCAAATTAAAGGCATTGTGAACAGAAAATTATAAAAGAAAATTAAAATTTTTAGTTTTTTATAATCGTCAAGTAAGATTTTGTAATGTTTCACGCATTGTTTATAATAAAAATAAATATTGATAATAAAAATAAATATTCATAATAGAAATTTTTCTAGAAAATTTCTGTGTTTTAAAAAAAATCTCATTTTTTAACTATAAAAAAATGTAAATTATATATAAATTTATTTTTAAAAATAAAAATGAAAAATTTTAATAATTAAAAAAATATCAAGAAATATGAAAACTACTTTTTATTTCATAATTAAGTTAACAGCATAATATTATTAAATAAATACATCGAAACAAAAAAAGCAAAAAATTAAGTCACAGATTTATTTATATCGTTGATCTAAAGTTTTTATTTCACCCAAAGGCTTTAAATAAAATTTTAAAATAATTTAATAATTGTTTAAAGTAAACACATTTTTTAATGTAAATTAAATGTTATGTTTAAATTTTTTTAGTAGGCATGTATTTCTTATGATATATTTAAATATTTGAAACTATTTTTCCATGTCTTTCTAAAAATCTTTTAAAAGATTTTTTTCCTTTTTAAGCTACTTTAAATTATGAATAATAAAATTAAAATTCCGTTGCAATTGAATGATTTTATTTATGATTTAACAATTTAATAATGATCCAATAGTATGATTTAATTGCTTTATTATAAAGAACTGTTTAAGATTTTTTTTTTTTAACTTAACTTACTAATGAAATAATTAAAAACTACTATTTTAATTATTTTAATTTAAAATTTTAAAAAGAATGTGTTATTATTAAAAAAGAAATATTTTTGCAACTTTGAAAAAAAAAATTTATACAATTTAAAAATATTATTATTATTTTTTTCAATATTATAATTTCACATTTCAATGATTTAAATAAAATTTGCTCATTTATTGAACAATCATTAGAAGTAATTTCTAAAAATATTTTGTGTAACTTTAATAATACCTTTTAAAAGTTAAGTTTTAAAGTAATTTATTTCAAACACAATTAAAAACATAACAAAAAGTAAATTTTTTTTAATTTATAGTTTAAAACTTTTTATCTTTTTTTTTTTACTTTTCTTTTTTAAGTTTAGCTTAGCGTTTCTTTTTAAAGCACATTTCTGAAATGTTTAAATCATCAAAATATTTAAACAGTTGTGGTCAATTTGTCAACAAAAAAAATCAGTTGTGTTGTCAGCAATAACGTTCAATTGTCTAAGTCTGTATATATATATATATATATATATATATATATATATATATATATATATATATATATATATATATATATATATATATATATTATATATATATATATATATATATATATATATATATATATATATATATATATATATATATATATATATATATATATATATATATATATATATATATATATATATATATATATATATATATATATATATATATATATTATATATTTATATATATATATATATATATATAATATATATATATATATATATATATATATATATATATGTTTTTTTATAATTATATAAGTATGTACTTTTTAAACAATAAAAAATTAGGAATATTTAAATGTAACGATAGTCGTTGCCAAATTTGTTTATTTTACCTATATATATACATATATATATATATATATATATATATATATATATATATATATATATATATATATATATATATATATATATATATATATATATATATATATATATATATATATATATATATATATACATATATATATATATATATATATATATATATATATATATATATATATATATATATATATATATATATATATATATATATATATATATATATATATACAGGCTTGGACAGGAATGGCGTGCGATCGATCGCTATTGCTGACCACGCAAATGATTTTATTTTTTGACAACTTGACCACGATTGTTTAATAAACAATGTTTATACGTTTTGATAAGTTAAAAATTTAGAAATGTTCTGAATGTAGAAACGCTAAGCTAAACTTAAACTAGGAAAAAAATAAAAAAAAAAACTAACAAAAAAAAATATTCCTAACGAAAAAAGAAACGAAAAACAAATTCATAACGAAAAAGAAATCATATAAGCACAAAAATGAAAATAAAAACTTAAACTAGAAGCGAAACTTTTTGTTACGTTTTAATTACGTAAGAAATGAACGTTAATAAAACTTATTTTTTTAAGCGTTATTAAAGCTACGCAAAACATTTTTAAAACTAAGTAACAAATTACTTTTAAGGGGTTGTTCAAATAATGCGTGACAGTCTTAGGGGGGGGGGAGTATTAGAAAGTGTCACTAAATGTCACTTGGGGGAGAGTGGTTTGCCTCAGTGTGACGTGACAAAAAACATTTTAAATTAAATTGTTTATCACTGCGTAATTAAACTAGTTTATTTTGCAAACTCGGAGGTATTTTTATATAATACTGATTTCGAGAAAAATTATATGCAACGACTTCACGAATTGCGACCGTTTTTAGTTTAACTTTCATTTAACAAAAATTTTTGTTTTTGTTAAATGATTGGATTTGATTAATTTATATTTACTCTGTACAATATTATTTTTCTAGAAATTGAACGCATAAAAAGAAATTCTAATCCTACAAACATAGAACTAGATAGTGGGCAAGTATCTAAAAACGATTTATATTACTATCAAAAATCATATTTTATTTTTTAACACTATTTATATTAATAGACTAAAAAGTTAAGTGTTATTTTCGCTTAAAATTAGGTCTTCAAATATAATACGTAATCGATATTATTCTATTTTCAATGTTATTATTTGTATTACTTTTAATATTTTGTGTCACTCTATTGCAAATAATTGGTCTAATTACTTTATTATTTTATTATTACGTTATTATTTTATATTTATAATTTTGTTATTCATTAAGTTAGTTAGATTGTTAACGAATTTTAGTATTAATAATGCTATTGTTAACATTAATTCACAATGTGTTTGTTTGTAATTAATGGTTGTTAAGAAAATAAATTTATTGTTGTTGTTGTTATAGAATAAAAATGTCTAGTGAAAAGGAACAACTTTACAAATCTATTTATGAAGGATATTTAAAAGCATTTGCAAACAAACCAAAGCAAAAGTCTCAAGAAGAAACAAATAAAATCTGGTCTGAGATCAAAACAAAGAGCAAAACATTACTCGATATAAATGTAGAAGTTGAAAAAAATTGAAAGAACTAAAGCGAATTGATCTTCGAAATAAAGTTGGTATTTTATCTTACTGGACAAAATTACGGAAATATAAAAGCTTGTGATTGAATCTAAAATCACTTTTGATGACAACTGATGCAACCCCATCAATTACAAATAGTGAAGACAGTGAAAAAGGCTTACAAGAAAACTCCAATTCGTTAAAAGTTTTAAAAAGACCTGCGCCAAAACAAGATCAGTTAAAGAATGAAATTTTTATTTTACAAAAAGATATCGCATATTTTACTGAAAAAAGAAGTTGCAACTTGTTGACACAGGAGGACCACCATATATTAAGACAAAAACAAAAGCTTTTGATAGAAAAAAACCGAGATCTTGTACTTCGCTAAACCTCAAACAGCAATCAGGCTAAAAAGAAAAAAAGCAATAGAAGTTTGAGATCCGGATATTTGAATTGCCAATTGGATTGACAGCTGCAAACAAACAAGCACCAATCATGATGCATATGGAGTACAAGGTGACATAGCTGATGATTTGATAACTCATGATTTTGTAATTGCTCCTCAACACAAACTTATTCCTTCAGTAATTGAAGCCATAGAAATCAAAAAAGATTGCATGGAAAGCAATTTGGTCAGAGTATGTTACAAGCAGTCACATACTCTGCCCAGCAATCATAAGTGCAAAACATGATTCATCAACAGCACTTAGTCACTTGGAAGACATTAATAGAATCAACCATCTTCCTGCATTTGAAAGCAGCTTATTTACTGAAGATGGAGTTAGCAATCCAGTCATGATTATAACTGTTGATGGTGGGCCAGACGAAAATCTAAGATATGAAAAAACAGTTCATTGTGCCAAGACTTATTTCAAAGGGCATGACCTTGATAGCATATTTGTAGCAACCAATGCTCCTGGCAGAAGTGCCTTTAACAGGGTAGAGAGAAGAATGACTCTGCTAAGCCATGACCTTGTAGGAATTATACTTCCATTTAATCATTTTGAAAGCTATCTTAATTCAAGAGAATAAACAACAGACAAACTTATGGAGAAGGGAAATTTTGCTGGCGAAGTTCTTGCACAAATTTGGTCCACCAAAGTTATTGATGGGTTTGAAAGTATTGCAAAGTACAAAGAACCAAACAGTGAAAATCGTGTACAATTAAAGCAGTTTGGAACAGAGTGAGATGCTAAACATGTCAAAGAAAATCAATATTTGCTTCAAATTG